TTGACCCAGTTTCTATAAAAAATATATTCATTACCTGAAATTTGTAACTATAATAATATAGAAAATTATAAATTCAAATAATTTAGAATAAACAAAAGTATTAGTAACAATCAAAATAAGTGATAAAAACTTAATGTAGCAAATTATAAATTCAAAGAAGTGACAGAAACTTAACAATTCATAAGTTATAGTATTATTAATAAGTCACAAAAATCCATACTCAACGATCCATAATTTTTTATGTCAATGAAGTCAAATTGTCATAATCTTGATATTCATATCCATCTTCAACTTCATTGTCTTCTCCACCAACTTCATCTTCTCTGGTATTGCTTTTTTCTTGATTTACAGTATCAACAATAGTATCTTGTGCATTACCCATATCTCCATCTTCATCCTCGTCTAAATCTATTTGATCTATAACAATATTTTAAAAAACAATTAACAATTTTTTTTAGAGATGGTAAATATGAGACATTAAATTGATTCACAACCACAAACTATATTATGCTCATATTAGAACATACCAATATCACTTGAAATTGGTTGGATGGTCATATTTGCAAGGTCATTCCGCAATGCTTCCAACTCTTCATTGGTTAAGAGAGGTGGTGAATCCTCTAATACCCAACTAGAATGGTCGGTAATTGTTTCAATATTGATAGGATCGTAACTCCCATTTCTTATTTTCTTAAGCACACATGAATTACATTTAAGTATATGTATTTAAATATAAAAATATAATGATCAGAGAAAAATAACCATAATAATACCTATTTTGAAGTCTCAAGTTGTAACGAACAAACACTAAATCATTAAGCTTTTGGTGCTCCAATCTATTTCTTTTTTTGGAATGAATATGCTCAAATATACTCCAATTGCGTTCACAACCCAAAGCACTACAAGTTTGACTTAAAATACGAATAGCTAACCTTTGCAAAGTTGGTGTACAAGTGCCATAAGTTTCCCACCATTGATCTGTTTATACCATGTGATTAAATAAATTTATAAACATATTGAAATATAAAATAAAATATATATCAAGAGTTAGAAGTTATGAAATTACATGCCCTCACAATACATCATTCATCCACGGCTGTTTTCCTTCCAAAATCTAATTCACCGTCTTTGAATATTCTCATCTCATCTGTTAACTTCAATCAAAGTTTAGAATTTCCATTAGCATGCTTTTCAATGACATCTAAAAGTCCTGATGTTGTGGATGCATGTTTTTCAAATTCTACATCATTATATCTACAAGCTGGATTCAACCAATAACCGGCAGCATGAAGATTTTTGCAGAGCTGTGAATTCCAATGTTTATCTAAGATTTTCAAGTAAGGATCCACTTTCTTCTTATTTCTTTGAAACCTCTTCACCATCTCCTCTCTAGCTTTGACTATAGATTTGTATAGAATGCCCATAGCAGGTTTATCTTCACTATCAACAATACACAACACACGCACAAGTGGTTCAGTGAGTTTAACTACATCAACACATTTACTCCAAAATCCAGAATCTAAAACTTGACCCACAAACTGTTTTGCCTTTGCTTCTTTGGCATATGCTGAGCTTGTCCATTCTTTAGATGTTACCATGCCTCTTAGTGGTTTTTGTGAGACAAAATACTTTGCAAAGCAATGAAATTAGTGGCAAACCGAGTTGGAGCAGGACGAAGGATTTCTCTTCCACCTGTTTGCTTTCTCATTAAATACAATGCATAACAATGGTTATAAATATATTTGGTAACATTAGAAGCATGTGACACTGTCTCACTTACTTCCTCTAATTTTCCCACGTCTTGCAACATCAAGTTAATGCAATGTGGCGCACAAGGAGACCAAAATAAAGTAGGAAACTCATTTTCTAATAACCTTCCAGCAGCAACATAATTTGCAGCATTATCTATCACTATGTGAACTACATTTTCAGGCCCAACAAATAAAACCACCTCTCTAAAAAGCTTATACAACATATTTGCAGTTTTTGAAGCATGAGAAGCATCAACTGATTTTAGAAAAATAATACCTTTGGGACAATAAACTAGAAAATTTATAAGAGTTCTTCTTTTTCGATCAGTCCATCCATCGGCCATTAAAGTACAACCAGTTTTCTTCAAAATCTCACGATACTCCTCTATCAATTTGTTCACATCTTCAACCCATTTATTTAACAAATAGACACGAAGACTATGCATAGTTGGGACTTTATACCCCGGACTCATGCTGCAAAGTGCATCAGCCATAGATTGAAAATACGCAGAATTAACTGCATTGAATGACACAGAAGAATCAATGAATCATCTTGCAATAGCTAGATCACACTTCTCCACCAATTCCTTACTTTGTAACACACTTTTTAAAGAAGGTTGAGCTCCAGGAGTTGTTCTAGGCATACAATAATTACCAATACGACTAATATTCTTTCTCTTTTGAGACACAATCACCGAATTTGATCTTGATTGTTCTACATCCATTTCTACTATACCACCCTCTTGAGTAGTAAGATCAACATCAAAATTTTGTGCTTGAGTCTTTCTTCTCTTATTTGCACCTTCATCAAGATTTTGTTTCATTTGATATTAAACATCTGGAGGCACCTTTTTACATGTTTCAACTTGACCTTTTATTTCAGTCAAATGGAATTTGAACCTATTAATCCTCCCTCCTCTAATAATTTTATCACAGTAAATACACAAATTAACAAGTTTTCATTTCTCTTCAATTTGTTTACAATGACCCCAAGCTATATCAGTTTTTTCCCTACTGCTCTGGAGTTGGGTTAGATTTTGAGATGTAACTTCTTCCGAAGTTATTACTTCAGCAGGTGATGCCATATCTAATATCAATCAAAATTTAAAAATACAAAACTATATTACAAAAATATTAACAAAATACAATTCTAAACAAAAATTATTGAATTTATAAAAACATTAAATATGTAGCATATCTAAATCCAAAATATATGAATATATTGTTGTATATTACATATAGGCTACCAAACATCGTTACTGTGCATCACCATATATAATAAAAAAAATAGAAACTTTGCTTTCCAGCCTTTGCTATATATTTTAGATTAATAAAATCCTGAAATTTTTCTTTGTTATATAATTTAAATTAATAAAAAACAGAAAACTTTGTCTTATTATATAATTTAGATTACATAGTTTTAAACCCAATTTCCATCTCCATAATATATACAACGACTATTACAGTAATATATATCTATCATAATTTCTATCTCCAATATACAACAACTTCATTACCAGTCTATAATAAGTTAATTCATAAAAGTATAAAACTGCTTCATTCATACAAATTCTATCTCAATTTGTTAAACTAAAAGACCCAATTTTATAGAAAATGATCAAATTTAATCATTATTTTCTATATCAATTAATCAACAAAATGAAACAATAATATTCATATTGAAAATCATCAATGCAAATTAGACCAAGTAAAAAAGAAATAACCTGTTTTTGATGTTTTGATGAAATTTTTGACGGCAAACAAGGAATATCAAATAGCAGCAACAAGTGGGAGTTTTTGTTGGTAGAGAAAATTGAGAATATGACTTCAATTAGAAAAAGAAAAGACAGAATAAAAAAGAAAACCTTTCAAATGTTTAGGTTTGAGAAACGAGGAAGCAAAACGTTTATGTTAATTTTTTTTTCAAAAGCCCTAAAAAATAAAATAAATAGTCAAATCCGCCGGTTCAGTAAAAACCGCTGGTTCACTGGTTTAACCGGTGATCCAGCCGGTTCACACCGATTTTATTAAGTCTAAATGTAATTTCGATCTTATCCCTTAATCGGATCGCGTGGCCCATCGATTCTCGGTCAAACCGATCCGACCGGCCGGGTCGGACTGAGTTTTAAAACACTAATAAATTGAAGTGATATTTTCTTCAAAATAAAATATTAAACGTGTGGATTGATGTAAGTCTCTAGTTTGTATAATATTTTTTTGAAATATAAATATAATGAAAAATATGAATATTACGAGATTCAAGGAAGGAAAAGGGGTCATATCGGTAAAAAAATTCCCCATATAACATACAATACCACCAACAAAGTATAATGGTAGAAGCAACCTAGAAAGATAGCTGGTACTATTACTAGTAATGAGTGCAGAAATTGAACATATATGCAGTTCCTAAATTGAACAAGTATTGATTCTGATTTGTCTATGTTGACACTCAAACTCAAGTAAGAAGCCGGAAGTTGTTTTGGAAGCATGTATGTGACATTACCAAGTAACCTGTCTTCGCTACTTAGCATGACAAATGGACAAAATTATATAGAAAACACACACAAAAAGACAATTAAACAAGAGCCCCAACCTTAAACGCCGTGTGTTTGACCTTACACAAATGTTTCTTCTTCTTATAACATTGCACAACATTAAGTTTACGTGGACAATTTAATTAACAGTAATCCAAGATTAGCAAGTAGATTGAGCAGTTGGTTGAGTTGAAAGAAATTTAATGCTGCCAGCCCACGATTCATTACAGGTGTGAGAATAAGACCAAAAAAAATCGTTCCAAAAAATTATATATTTATTCCTGTTAACGATATGCACACTCTCATTTCTATAAGAACTTTAATTTGAAATAGTCAATTGGTGAATTATTAGAGAACAAGATTATTATGAAAAGCAAAAAATCTATAATTGGGACCCACATAAGGTGGAGCAAATGGATCATTTTCAGCTCAAGTTGCTTTTTCCAATTTTTGATTTGGTTGCCCGCGACATTGCGACGACTACGTATTATAAATAATAAGAAAAATGATAATAGTTAATTAAAAAAAAACAAAAAGCAGCATGTAGAATAAAATAAAAGAAACAATACGCATTAGTGTTATTGTCTAGTTTGGTTTGGATTTAATTTGAGTCACATCTGGTAGCGGTTGCGGATTGAAGAAGTGAAAGTGCGAGTGCATAGTTTTCATATATTCACCAAACTTGTCCTTTTTTCTTAATGAGCAAACCTTCAAAATGTCCACCTCCTCTCAAGGTAGTAGCACTAACAGAAACGCTAACAGAAACTCTCTTAAACCGTCGTCAAATGTCAAGTCTAAGCCAATTCAACGCCGTACTACCACCGCCTCCGCCGTCAAGGATCACACCACCGGTCAGTTCTTCCGTTCTCAGATCGTTCCTCTTTCGCTATCACATTATGATCGTTAACATTTTCTCTCTTGATCAATTACTTTCGTTTAAGCTTTAATTTTGTAATTATACGGTGGCTTCGGTTTTTCTGTAATTAGAAATGAAATGCGGAGGGGAAAATTTTAGGGTCCGGTAAATTTGGAGATGGAAAACTATAAAGTAATAATTACGTATGTGAAAATAATGTGTTAGTGCTGTGTATGTGTAACAGTGTTTGTTTGGTTCTTAGTACTGATATTGATTTGCTTATGCTTGGAGTGAGTGAAGTTCCGGGAAGAGTTAGAGTGGCGGTTAGGTTGCGGCCTCGGAATGCAGAGGAATTAGTGGCGGATGCTGATTTTGCTGACTGTGTCGAATTACAGCCAGAGGTATGTGATTTGTTGCTTGTTTTGGATTTATTTCCTTTGATGGAGAGTTGATTATAGTTGTGTTTCTATTTTGTAGCTCAAAAGGTTAAAACTAAGGAAGAATAATTGGGATGGAGAGACTTATGAATTTGATGAGGTGCTCACAGAGTTTGCGTCGCAAAAACGCGTTTATGAAGTTGTCGCTAGGCCTGTTGTGGAGGTTTGTATTCAGTCATATTCATCTCCTGGTGGTTTTGTTTTGCTATTGTTATTGTTCATTTTATTTTATGCTTTCATGAACTCATTTTCTGCGATTTAAAGTTAGTTAGAATGAATGAAGTAATGTGAGTTAACAGTGTGCCCTATTGCTCGGAATTTCCTTACTTTCTAGAGTCTGTCATTACTCATTATCAATTATTCAAAAATCACTCGGAAACACTCTCATTTGTATTGGTGCTCGTATCTTTTCACAAGCAAATGCGGACAACCATTCATATTGGGCAATCATACTTTTTCTTACTGCGAAACTTCTTTTCATTACGTTAAACTTCTGCAGAGTGTACTCGATGGCTACAATGGAACAATCATGGCATATGGCCAGACTGGTACTGGTAAAACTTATACTCTTGGAAGACTTGGGGAGGAAGACACAGCAGCACGTGGAATAATGGTACGAGCTATGGAAGATATTTTTGCAGATGTTTCCTTGGAAAGTGATTCGGTCTCAGTCTCATATTTGCAGGTACTTAGCAAAAAAAGAGATTTTGGTATGTCTTTCTAATTTAGGTTTGCTGTCTGTGGATATAAATATGGCACTTTTATCTATTCAAATTCATTCTTTGTTTCAAAGTATTTGTTATATTTTCTGGCAAACTACATTCATACTTCATATGTTAATATGATATTTCTTGATTCCCATGTTCAGCTGTATATGGAGACTATACAGGATCTGCTCGACCCTTCCAATGATAACATAGCCATCGTAGAGGATCCCAAAACTAATGATGTTTCACTACCTGGAGCTACTCTAGTCGAGATTAGGGACCAACAGAGTTTTGTTGAGCTACTAAGATTAGGAGAGGCTCACCGCTTTGCTGCAAATACAAAACTGAATACCGAATCTTCTAGAAGTCATGCTATTCTGATGGTAAATGAAATGACATATCTTGTGTGTGGATATTATAGTTTTATCCTTTTAGTAGTCAATGTTCAATATTTCTACTTTTAATGTTGGAGGATTGACTGTGCCTCTCATACAATAGGTACATGTAAAAAGATCCGTCAAGGGAAGAGATGCTTCTCATTCAAGTGAAAATGGAAATCACCCACACATGGTTAAATCATTAAAGCCGCCTATTGTTCGGAAAGCTAAGTTGGTTGTTGTAGATCTTGCTGGTTCAGAACGAATTGACAAATCAGGTTCGTAGATATTGCAAAAGTGAATTTATGATTTCTCCATGTTCATCTGTTTGTAGGGTCTTTATTAGGCATTGCTATAAGGAAACATTACATATTCCGCTCCCAGCCTTTTCCTTTAATTTTATAAATCTTTTTATACAAATGCTTTGAGTCGACACACAAAGTTTCTAAATTCTGGGCCAATATAATTCAGTATTCCATGCTCGAGAAAAATATTGTTTATTCAAGATGGGAGGATATTCAATTTCTGTCTCTCATATTTTCTACTTAATGATACTGTTACATTATTTATTGCTTAATAGGAAGTGAAGGACATATGCTAGAGGAGGCCAAATCCATCAATCTATCTTTGAGTGCACTGGGGAAATGTATTAATTCACTTGCAGAGAATAGTGCACATGTGCCATTTCGTGACTCAAAGCTTACTAGATTATTACGTGATTCATTTGGAGGTAAGACTCTGAGTATGAGAATTGTGTTTTCTCTTGTTCTTTTCTTTTTGTTTATCCTTGGATTTTTTACTATAGACAAAGCATCATATTCTCAACTATGGCATGTTAGCAATGGATGTTGACATTGACTTGACGTTGATTTAAGCACGCGGACCAAAACGCTAACAAAATAACTAAACAGTTAATGCAGAGAAAATTCAATCTATAGATGGCATACTCATGGAGAAGCTTAAGACACTAAATCTGAAATTTAACAAAAAAGTGCTCTTCCTTTCAATGCTTTCATATACTTTGTAGATAAATCTTTATAAAGGTTTTGAGCTGAATATCTCTGAAATCAAATCACATCTTTTTGCAGAATCATTGAAACTAAAGGGATAAATTTTCGGTTAAAAAATCCTTCAATCAATTACTTCATTTGTATATATTGGAGATTTTATTATGAAATACATATTTTGTTAAAATTGTAAAGCATCTTTAATTTTTATGAACCGAATCTGTGCAGTATGTGTTTGACTTCTAAAAGTTTTAACAGGTACAGCAAGAACTTCACTTATCATTACTATTGGACCGTCACCACGGCATAGGGGAGAGACTGCCAGTACTATAATGTTTGGACAGAGGGTGCGTTTTCTCCCTCCACTTTTCAGATTATTGTTGCCGGCAATGTAACCAGTTATTTTCATTGGTTGATTTCACCTTTTGTTCTGTACTTCAAATTTACGTCCACGTTGTTGCTAATTCATTTTATGATGATACTACTTAGAAAGTTAGAATGAGAAATGAAATAGTGTCATGTAACCAATAATCATTACCTAGATGTTCGACATTTATGCATCTTGTAGGCTATGAAGGTGGAAAACATGATAAAGTTAAAAGAGGAATTTGATTACAAAAGCTTATCAAGAAGGCTAGACATAGAACTAGATAAACTCATTATGGAACATGAAAGACAACAGAAGGCATTTGAGGATGAAATTGAAAGGTTAGCAACAGAAGCACAACATCGGATATCTGAGGCTGAAAGAAACTATGTAGAATCACTGGAGGTTTGTTCTATATCACACTTTTTTATATCTATGTCATTTGTGCTTTAGATTGTGTAAAAGTGTTTCTTTGTCAGTCATCGAATCACATTGTTTCAGGCACCTTATATCCATAATATCACACTCAACCGGCCTTTTAGATGATATTGTTCATTTTTTTGCATGTAGGTAATATTATTTAGTATATATAGCAAGACTTAAGTTACTTATTGAAGTTCAATTAACAAATTACATGGTCGGCTGATTTGATGGGGACATCCTTGTGAATATTGCTGATTACTCATTTTACTTTCTCAGAAGGAAAGATCAAAATATCAAAAAGACTATATGGAGTCAATTAAGAAGCTTGAAGAGAAGTTTGTGATGAATCAACGAAAGAACGAGGATCCTCATATGAAATCAAACACAGAGGTAGTGTTTTTTATTATAATACATTGTTTTAAGTTTATCACAACAGGTGAAATTTCTAAGAAAACAGTCTAGATGATCAAGTTATCTGAAAACATAAGGATAATGGGTACGATTTGTGTGTGTGTGTGTGTGTGTGTGTGTGTAGTGGGGGTGTTCAATTGTTATGGCCACTTGGTGATTACTGATTATGGATTTTCCAAATCAAGGATAGATTATATTGGGTTCACTTTTTTTGAGATAAAATTGTTAGTAATTAGTATTTGATAGAAATGTTAATGGGTGAAATTGAACCCACATTCCCTTCTCTCTCCGGCCCTTATATTCCTTCCCTCATATCAACAAATTGTGTTAGGCTCACTTGAACTGTTTTTCCCTAGATTCCCAGCATAACTGCCGAGGAAATGGCTGATTTGAAGAAAATGCTTCAAAAAGAGACTCTTTTAAGAAAAGCTGCTGAAGGGGAAACAAATAATTTGAAGATTCAAGTTGCTGAACTAAAACAGTCAGAGGTATGCTTTTGGGTCTCCAGTATTTTATATGTTGAGAAAAGCTAGCAATACACTCTCTAACTCTCTATGATTGGTTAAAATTCACATGGTTCCTACCAAATTTATATGAGACCCACATGATTTGGTAGGACTAATGTGAATATTAGAAAGTGTGTGTTGCTAGCACTACTCTTATATGTTTCACTTGCAATTCCTTTTGTTTCAAAGTTTCGGGGAATAGGAATAGTTAATACATGAGAATAATTTTCGTAAACTTGTACCAAACATGTAAATATATGTTTCACTTGCATTTCCATGTTTGGTACACGTCTACAAAGTTATTCACATGTATTCCTGAGTTATTCCTATTCCCAGGAATAAAAGCTACACATACTTTTATGATTTTACATTCCCATGATGGAGGATGGGAATCTTTTATTCACATGGGAATAAAATTATCTGCCAATCCAAACCACAATAACTGCCAATAACTTCCCACTTTTATTTATTTATTTTTTTCTTTCTATTTTTAACTAAATATTTCATCCATCTCTAATTATAGGACCCTTTGGAAAATTTTGTTTGTTCCTAAATATACGACACTTTGCAATTTACTAGACACATTTTAAGGTTCCTAAGAATGTCAATCATGGACATTATTTTCATTAATAAGATTCCCAGGCATATGATTCCTGGATATAAATGTATACTTGAAAGTTGAAACAAACTACCCTATAGTATCTGAATTAGTTTTACATGGATATGTTTACTGCAATAGGCATCAGCAAAGATAGAGATATCAAAACTCTATAAGATTTTGGAAGAGGAGTCTCATCAGAAAGAGAAGCTTGAAGGAGAAATAGCAATATTACAAAGTCAATTGTTGCAGTTAGGTCTTGAAGCTGATGAGGTAAGCTATACCTAAATTGCACAAATGCCATATTTAGTTGGGTTTTATCTAGTGGATTTTTTAATAAAAAAGATAACCACTTATGGATTATAGTTTGTTTTCCCCATGGTTGTTTATGTAGAATTGTTTTTGACTTTTTTTGGATTTAAATCATTTAACTAATTAGTCAATGCGCACCTGCTAGTATGCGTATTCATTTTGAATCACAAGGAAATAGCCGATGTCGTTCGCAATGCCTTCTTTGTAAGGAAAAAAAAAAGACAAAATAACTATTGTTTTAAAAACTAGATTTTGAGTTAATTTTTTAAAAGAAAAAATGACCTGAGTTACAAGTTTGTGATGAAATCCAGCAATTGAAGTAGCAACAATGGTATAAAAGATACTGATTTTATATTTTATCACAAAGGATGGCAAATTATTAAACAACAGTTGTAAATATCTCCGGCTGAACTTGGGTAGATATATTAAAGCATATTTCTACCTCCCGTTGACGTCAATATTTCACGTGGAATCATATTTATGCTAACAGGAGGCCATGCCATCTTTAAAGTATTTGGATTTGGGCTGTTTGTGGTAGGTAAACCTGAGGGCTTAACATGTTGGCTCCCTCACCTGTTATAAGCTCTGACTTATTTCCATTCACATGTCTGGGAAGACTATTCAACTTCAATGGTTTATGGTTCATTCAAGATTCTGTAAATTAGCTATATGTAACTAATGGAGATAAAGACACTTTTCTTGATATTGCAGAAGTTGATATTGTAGAATGTGAATGTAATGTAACTGAGAACAACTTTATCCTAGTTTTCCAAATCTCTTTCCCTTGTTTCTTTTCTCATATCTGGAGGTGAAATTTGGACTATTGAGCAGCTTGAGTAAAATTCTGGGAAATCAAATAACTGCAAATGAGTTGTATTGAGGCTGTGTAATTGAAAGTACAGAAGCATTATTGTTCTATACCATTTCTAATCATTATGTGCGCTGCTAATGCATCTTCTTGTACCATTGAGTGTCCTCATCTTATTTGGTATTTATCTGATTGACATTTATCCTATAGACAAGACGACATCTAGATAGAGGTGGATTTAGCAAAGAAGTGGGTGGTCGTGATTCTCTCACTTCCCAAATTAAGCATCAGCAGCAAGTTTCTGGAAATGGAGAGAAGCCTTCAATAGCCAAGCTCTTTGAGCAAGGTAGTAATTAGTATATATTGCTTGTGTCTAAACACTTGACATATATTTTCTTAATAGCTTATCTGTCTATTCTGAAGTTATTTGTTCCTGATAGAATAAATATTCTCATAGTGGGATTGCAGAAGATTTTGTCATTGCTTGAATCAGAAGATGCTGATGTGCGAATCCATGCTGTAAAAGTTGTAGCAAATCTCGCTGCTGAAGGTTGGTATTTTAGTTGCTTATTTTAAAATTAGTCATAGTAACAGCGGAGAAGCGAAAATAGAAAATATAATTATGATGACCTGTTCATTATTTGATTTAAAGTCAATCAATCTGCGAAGAAAAGTTGTAGTTTAATATTTTGAATCTTTGCTAAAAACAAATAATGCCACACTCGTATGGAAACTTCTCTTCGTCATTCTTCCAATGATACATATATTTGGCTTGGTTTACAAAATGACTGATTCAAAGAAAGTGTTTCCTTCTAAACTAAGTTTACTTGAAATTGATGTTATATTAATTATCAGCCCTAACATGCATTCAACTTGATATAGAAACAAATCAAGGGAAGATTGTAGAAGCGGGGGGACTTACTTCCTTGCTTATGCTGCTTAAGACCACACAAGATGAGACCATACATAGAGTTGCTGCAGGTGCTATTGCAAATTTGGCAATGAATGGTAAAATTATGCTTCCTCCTCTTTGCAACTAATAACTTTATAAAATGAAAATGTTTATTACTAAGATATCTTGTTTTTTTTCTGTTCTCTGCATCCTTATTATGTGTCTTAACAGAAACCAACCAAGAACTCATAATGGCTCAAGGGGGCATTAGTTTGCTGTCAATGACTGCGGCCAATGCTGAAGATCCTCAAACTCTTAGAATGGTTGCTGGGGCCATTGCTAACCTCTGTGGCAATGGTACACTAATCCTCTGAATCTATTTTTAAAGTTGTTTTAATTGTCTGCACTGTAGATGCATATTACTACTTCTAGTTTAGGCTTTGTGTACAAAACTGATTCTCTTGAAACAAAATAATTTGTCGTCACTAAAAGTTGTGTTTCCCTTGCACCTAGATAAACTGCAAACAGAATTAAGGGGCGAAGGTGGTATCAAGGCACTGCTGGGTATGGTGAGATGCAGACATCCTGATGTGCATGCACAGGTTGCTCGAGGAATAGCAAATTTTGCAAAGTGCGAGTCAAGAGCGTCTAGTCAAGGTAAACTTGTATGAGCACCTTCCCAAGTCTTGCATTGTGATTGTGGTAAAAAATGATATGCTTACTGAAATGTCACTTATTCCTTTAAAATGATTTAGATTGAATCCCTCGTATTTGTCCATTATCTCTATAGTTTGCTTTTTCACTGTTAGCACAATGCATATTTTGGGTTTGCAATTTTTCGCATGATCAACAGTTTCTACTATTGCCCGAGTTTAAGTTTTTCCGCACTGTGTAGGCATGAAGAGTGGAAGATCTTTCCTGATTGAGGATGGTGCCCTTCCATGGATTGTTCAAAATGCAAACAACGAAGCCTCGTCAATAAGGCGTCATATTGAACTTGCACTCTGTCACTTAGCACAACACGGTAAGTACTAAGCAAACTCTATCTTTGGACTAGAAACTTAACATTCATTGGGTCATATATCTAAGACTATGTGATGGAGTCATTCCAGAAGCAAATGCAAGAGACATGATTAGTGGGGGAGCATTATGGGAGCTAGTTCGTATCTCACGAGATTGTTCCAGAGAAGACATAAAGACTCTAGCACATCGAACACTAGCCTCCAGCCCCTCTTTCCAAGCTGAAATGAGGCGTTTGCGACTGAGCCACTGAAGATTATTTATGTAGAAAAAAAAGTTAACCTGGCTGGAAGATCCAAAGATAAGCAATACGTATCTGAGGTATTTTGGGTGTATTTATTTCTCTTTATAACAAATCTAGCTGGCCGGCTTTCTTCAGTGTTCTAGTTGAAAATCTAGACAAGTGTTTATGGGTTCTTGTATTTCATCAATGAATGGCCATAACTTAATCAAGTCTACCACCACTTGGTGTCTCTCTGGTCCACTTGCTAGCTTCTGGCATGTAAATTGTTTTGTATATGAAATAAATAGATGTAAGAGTAGTCACAATTTTGAATTTCTGTCATGAAATACCACGTTGCCAACAGTTAAAATTGTTTATTAGTGATGATTTGAATTGTCTCAACAATTGTTAGAAGTGTGAACCATGTAAACATTCATTTTTTCATAATGATTATCCCTACCAAGTTGCAAAAGCCAGTGTATTATTACCTTAATTATTGGCGTTGATAATTGGGATGCCTTAAGTGGGCATAACCATAAAGACATTATGCGCCTCAAACAACTTGGGACTCAAAAGATAAAGGAAAAGTTGTCTTTTAGGTAACAATACCAATGATAATAATAAGAGTCGTGCTAATAAGTGTGCTAAAAGCATCTCCAACTGTGTGATCAAGCATAGGTAATTTAAGTGGGTTCTACCTTGTCATATCATTTTGAAGAACTTTTTCATTTATTCTCCAAAGATAAAACTTTTAAGAATCTATAATGGGTCCCATGATTAGCTCACTTATGAACATTTCAATGTTTTTTAATCCAAGTACCGTTTGTTTCAAGAAGTGATGAGACTGACATGCCGGCAAATAAGGCAGGCAAACACTTGTCAGTAATAAATACATTATTTTTTGTGTTGTTAATTAATTCAGTTGATAGCTGTGTAAGGATATCAGATATAAAGACATTGATTCGAATTCACGACATCTTATTTATTTTTAAATGGTGAATTTCAGCCATTAAATTATTTGATAAAAATATAATTTTTATGCAATAGTTTATTATTATTGAGCATGACATGCTTGGTGACTTCGTCTTCCTTAATAATCATGTTGTCATCGTATAAATATGACATTTGTTTATCCAAAATTTGCATCTTTATTATATAATAACTGATCTTACCAAAACTATATTTGGCGGGACTTGTTGAAGTCAAATAGAGACATTGATGTAGAGATTTCGAAAAACAAATAAGCATATATAATTTTTTTCTTGTCAAATAATATACGGTCAATCGTTGATGGCAATTGACTAATAATAGGATCTAATATGAACCGCAAGAATAACCTGGTTACTCATCTATCTGAAACCTTTCTTGTGTTATTTTAAAAGGAAATGTCGCTTTCTAAATACATTGACTCTTGTTAAATTATGGTTTGTCTTTATCTATATATTTGTTACATTAAAGTTCTGCCAATTAAGGTAAGGTCCCGTGATATAGCATATAGTCAATATAATGCGGGAAGTGAGCCAGGTTTCACGTACGCCATTGTCGGCTGCGCGTTTCAGGTACAAATCTTAAAATATTTGATGAACAAGAATTCAAAGTCAGAGGCCGTTCTGGTTTTGTTTTTTTCTACATCACCAAACATTAAGCTTGGTCCCTCGACAAACATAAACAAGCTACCAATATTTAAGTAATTTATTATATTAGCTGGTGTTAAACCTATTAACCAAAAATTATGTTAACATATAAGTTGAAGTTAAAATTTTCACATTTTCTAGAAAAATATGGAGGTAAAATATTTTATAATGAGATGATCTATATATTTAATATTTTAAAGTTCTGGATAAATATATGGTGTTTCTCTCACTTGTGTAGTACTCTTGATCTAATGTAGTTCAGAATTCATAAGTGGTATCAGAATCGATGGTTCGAGTAAGAGACTGATTCCTTGTATCGAAAGTTTTTCTGACATGACGGTTATCAGACGATGTTCACTTGAAGTGTCAATGACGTGGTAAGGGTGTCAAGAGCGATACAAGTGTTTGTGGATGAAATAACTTCAGCTTGAGAGAAAGCGCTTATAAGTGGATGAACTCACATTTGAGGGGAGATTGTTAAGATACAAGCGTAAGCTAAAAGTTTCACATTGCTTGAAAAAATGGAGGCTTAACACTTCATATGTGAGATGATCCATATATTAAATATCTTAAGATTTTGGGTGAATATGTGATGTTTATCTCATTTGTGTAGTGCTCTTGACTCAATGTGGTTGTTCCCCTCACGACCAACGGTTTATTGGTTTATTATTATTATCATCTTAAATAAACTTATGTCGATAATGTAATTACTGTTGAGAGACAAGTGTGAGTTATGTAAGTCCCACATTGTTTGAAAAAATGGAAGTTGAGCACTTTATAAGCGAAAGAATTCATACACCTACTGTCTTAAGGTTTTGGATGAATATATGATGTCTCTATCACTTATGTCAGAAAAGCTATACAAAATGAGAAGAACCACTCCTATGTTGAGATATATGAGGGAACACGAGATTGCCTTGGTCTTAGCCAAGGTTCTTCAAGGGGCATGTAGCATCCACAATGGTGGGTGAGCTTTATTGGGAGAAGATACTAGGAGCATTGATACATAGTGTAAGATTAGACACCTTTGTGAAAGACACACTACTTATCCACCTAAAACCTTAAGGTGATAGGTGATTGGGTTTTCCCACTTATATATGCTTAAGTCTCCACATTACTATCCAATTTGGGACTATTTCTCCACTTACTCACACTTGCTATATTATTCCAACACGCCCCTCAAGTGTGAGTCCACAATGTCCCTCCACTCTTCCGGTCCCTTTCTCGAACCAAAGGCTCTAATACCACTGTTGGGGTGAGATACTAGGAGCATTGATACACAGTGTAGGACTAGGCACCTTTGTGAGAGACACACCACTTATCCACCTAAAACTTTAAACTCTTTCGATCCCTTTCTCGAACCAAAGGCTCCGATACCACTGTTGGGGGGAGATACTAGGAGCATTGATACATAGTGTAGGACTAGGAACCTTGACCATTTATCCACCTAAAACTTTAAGGTGATAAATGAGTGAATTCTCCCACTTATTATGCTTAAGTCTCTACATTCCTATCCAATATGGGACTATTTCCCCACTTACTCATACTTGTTATATTATTCTTACAAGCATTGGCTTATAAGTTGTTAAAAGCATGTTACTATTTCCCTCCTTAATGAGATACATCATAACTTTAGTTAAGTGTGAAAAAGGCCAGAGGCATGCCAATCTACATCATGCACCAGCTGAGCTCCTCCATCATGCATCAACGCCTTAACCATTTTATCAATAGGGCATTGACATTCTTGAGCCTTTTCCTATAGTTTCCGGCTAATTGAAATTCGTGATTGTTGGGGTAGACTACTTCACGACGTGGATAGAAGTAGAGGTTGTGTCTAAAATAACAGAGGAGAGAGTCTGCTACTTTTAATGACAGAAGATTATGTGCAAGTTCGGTCTGTCAGAAATCATTGTCTCAAATAATGGAATTCAGTTCTCTAGTTCCGTCGTAATTGATTTCTGCAAGGACATGGGAGTGCAAATCAAATTCGTATTCGTTGTTCACCCACACGCGAACGGACAAGCAGAGTCGGCTAACAAGGTAATACTGAAAGGGGTTAAGAAGAAGTTGGATGAGGTTAATGTTTGTGGGTCGAGCAATTGCATAAAGTGATGTGTTCATACCACAATACCCCTCACTCCACCATCGAAGAAAGCCATGGTAGTCAAAATCGTGATCCCAGTCATAGGATCGTATGGTTTTGCAATCTTATAACCCCCACCGTGCGAGAGAATAACCAGAATCAATTTTTGGTAGGCGATCTAGAATCACCGTGATAATATGTTAAAATTGTGGAATTTTCATTTTTGGGAAGAACCACCGTTTCTGTTCAAAGCCCCCAAGCATTTGGGTTCATGACCCATTTTAGAAAAATCCTAAAAATGTTTCTTTTTAGATTAAAATTTGAAATGTTTATTTTCTCCTTGACATTGAAACCTTTTGTGCCTAATTAAAATGAGTAATCAATACCCAATAATCAATGATTTGTGAAACTTTCTATTATACACCCATGATTAGTGTAACTTCCAAAATACAACAATTCTCTCATATTCACTCCATTTCTCTTGTAATGCCCGACAAAAATTAATTCCCTAATTACTATTGCTAATCTAATTAGTGATCATTTTGTGGAGAATATATTTAGTAGGGTTTTGAGAAATAAAATAATTACTAAATGAATGGAAATGACATTATAGACTTTGCACTCTCTTAAGTGAACAACTAAGGACTTGTTTGGTTTCTATCCTATTCCATATTGGAACAAAATCAGATTATAGAGAGAAAGAGAAAGGAAGCGAGAAAAGGGAAGAAGAGGAGGAATGGGTTAACTTTAAATCTTCATCTTTTTATTTGCATGCACCAAAATCAGCTTCAACTTGTTGTTTCAACATCTTCCAATTCTTATTAACAAATTTATCTCTTAAATCTAAGGTGAATCTCATAGATAGACATTGGGGGTAATTAGGGTTTATGTTGGTGTTGTACCTCAAAATTTTCCCTCTCATTTTTCAAGGCATTTCTTACAAAAGATTCTTAAGGTTCAAGCTTGCACAAGTACATTGGGATTTTCCAGTACCAAGATTAAAAGGAAACTGTCAAAAAGGGGGAAAATAGATAAAAATAATATTTTGATAAATTTGAGAAAAAAAAGTGTTCTTCGATTCAGCTCCTTCGATTGGCCTTTTGGCCTCCTTCGATGTAAGCTTGACTTGCCTCCTTTGACTGGGCATGGGCCTCTGGCACGTTGGCTTAGATTCACAAGGCACAAAGCCTCTTGTAGTCTCCTTCGATTCTAAGGTAAAAGGCTCCCTTTTTGCATCTTTCGATTTGCACTTTTTTCCTCCTATATGCCTCTTTTGAATCTGGACATTTTAGCCTCCTGCATGCACCTTCCGT